ACTGTGCTAGAGGTGGAGCCCATCAGTCGCTTGATCCCTTTCCAGAAGGCAGCAGAATCGCGGTAATTGTTGGCTGCCTCCCACACCAAGGCGGCCCATTTTGTTCATGTAGACATTTGCTCTCGTGCTATATGTCCGTCTGTAGCTCTCGGTACCGGTCTCTCAGCTCCTGCATCCACCCGCGGATACTGGCTAGTTGTCTCACGTGAGCGTACTGGACACTGAGCTGCCTCAGCTGGTGACTAGTGTGAGGATGGGGAATGGTCCTGTAACTGGTGGTCGGGATGTTGTTGTCCATCTCCGTCTTCACATCCTTATACCATTGTTCGACCGCGTCGTCGATGTCATTGGGGCTGGCTTCTTCCAGGTTTCTCCCCTGCTTGAGACTGAGAGACTCCTTGAAGGAGTCCCAGTCTGCCCGTTTGAGGTTTGACCTGATGTTGGCGGGGATCATAATGGGATTGGATGAGAGCGTCACGACGACTGGCAGGTGATCACTGGTACTGATGGGTCCGGCGGTAACGTGCCTGTTCAGGACGGCCTCGTTGTTAGAGAGGATTATGTCGGGTGTTGTGGCACTGGCACGTCTGATCAATGTCGGGAAATCTGGCCCGAGGTGTTGCAGTTTTCCCCTTCTGATGTTGTCATACAGCGCCACACCGACGTTGTTCTCATTACCGTGTCCTAGTATGGCGTGGCGCGCATTTAAGTCCCCTATGATGTATGTTGGTTTTCTGTGGCGTAGCAACTGGTTTAGGTCTTGTTCGGGTAAGTAAGGACGTCTGGGAGGTAGGTACATTGTGCATATGATAACAGGTCCCCTAGTTGTCTCCACCTGCACTCCCAGAACAGGGACACCATCGTTCAGCTCACCCGTCATGTTCCTCTGGTATAAAGTGTAGCCAAAAATTTTCAGCTTACTTTCGTCCTTTATGCCCGTACTGTTTAACAGAATGATGTCTGGGTCTAATTGATAGTATAAGTTAGACAGTTCATTACGTCTATTAAGGGACCAGTGTAGGACATTATGTTGGACAATTTTCATCCTGCTAACGACTGCCATTTCGGAGACTGTAGCTTGGGGAGTTGCACTGAGAGTAGTACCACTTCCATCACTAACCTTAATCTTGTCAGCATTGGTCCAGATAGTACGCACTGTTGTGAGGGTTATACCAAGCACAGCGGCTATGTCCACAGGGCATTCCCCTTTTTGAAATTGGCTTAATACATCCATTTTCGTAGCAAGGGTAATGGTCTTACGTTGCCTCTTCATTACACTAGGATCAGTAGCACTTGGAAGCCATTTCGAATGGTTACAGTACAGTTTTAGTGCAAAAGAACTGAAGCACTCACGAGTGATATCAAGTCGTAACAGAGACTGGCTTGGCGTCACTTGGGGACGCTGTCACGTTCCACGAGTGAGGGCAGCGTGCCGAGACGAGAGAGCGTAGCGCGGCCAGACAAGAGTGGGTGATGCGCCATAGAAAGTAGTCTGTGATGACGCAAAACGACGTAGTATCGGATCCCTGGGACGTTAAACGAATTTTTGGTCTCTAAAGTTTAACAACCTAGTACCGAAACAACGTTAAGCGGGATGACGTTATACGAGGATGCACTGTGTGTGTGTGTGTGTGTGTGTGTGTGTGTGTGTGTGTGTGTGTGTGTGTGTATGTGTGTGTGTGTGTGTGTGTGTGTGTGTGTGTGTGTGTGTGTGTGTGTGTGTGTGTGTGTGTGTGTGTGTGTGTGTGTATATATATATATATATATATATATATATATATATATATATATATATATATATATATATATATATATATATATATATATATATATATATATATATATATATATATATATTAAGAATGCATGATCAATGAATAAATGTAAAATGTAAGTAATTGGTAATAGTTAGACTAGTGAAAAACTGTAAATAACTGTACAGTACATATGCAATTTTTTCTTGAAAGTAGATCGTAAGTTTTGGCACCCTCCTCTGTATTTACAATGTCAAATGTGGCTCAGAGCCTACAAAAGGTTGATCACTGGCCTAACTGATACCACAAAGAGGTATGGGGTAACCTAAGTGAAGTTTATAAACATCTCTGAGAGTACTACTCAGTCGAGTGTCTATACCTGGAGCTGGTAGACGCCCACCCCACGAGGGGTCACAGATCAAGGCTATCGGAACTCTCCGATAGCCAGAATTGAAATTTTCTTGGAAAATCATTCCCAAAGCCGGAAATTTCCGGAAAATTGCAGCTTTGGGAAAAATTTTCCGAGGGGCACATTTTCAGGAAAATTCAGAGAATTCCGGGGATGGGGGAGTTTTTTTCTGGGTTTGAAAGATAAAAATCAGGCGCATTTTCTGAAGATTAAAATAAAAAATTTCCTTGAACTGGTAGACTACAGGAATGAGGGATTTTTTTTCAGTCAATTGATGGAACTTCCAAGAACATTTTTCAGTTACCCAGAAAATTCCAGAAAATTCCAGGGATGAGGAATTTTTTCCGTCTTTGAGAGTCGTCTCATTACCCCGGAAATCTCTCATTCCCGGAGGTGCTCTGCACCAATTGTTCCGGCTAATGGAGATATCACTGTAATAATAATAATAATAATAATAATAATAATAATAATAATAAAAAAAATATAATTAATAAAGGATACAAAAATTAAGTGAGAAACGGTATAAGTGCGGTGTGAGACCCTGCAATTGTGTGTAAATGAGGTAGAAAGTCAGATCAGCAACCTTGGACTTGGTCACATATGGCAGCAGAGTCTACCATTAGACAACACATTATGCTTCCAATATTTTCCCAGGCGGTAGTACCTCCCTGTTTGATAGCTGCCTACTATCTACTAGTTCACTAAATTGAGTGTGATTCCATTAAATGCCGCTGCTTGGGATATGGGGTTCATTTACATCAGCTCAGTCTGTGTTCTGCTACCCCCCCGTGTGTGTTGTTCACTGCTACCTCTTGATCTACTTCTTGGCCAACTAACTACTGCACATAGACATCATGTCAAAAGTCTCTCAGAAGTCTCAGAAAGGAAATGGTGTGGGGGAGAAAGTTAAAAGAGTGCGGCTATCAACTGGAAAAAGTTTGGAAATAATAGAAAGAATTTAAAACAATCACCGAACCCCCTAGTTTAAGGTAAATCATGAATAATGTTTCTAATGTTTCTATGTATTATATCATGTGACTAATGTGTCTCCACAGGTGGGAGTATATTAACGGGTTTAATCTCGAATTAGCGAACTAGTTCACTAAATCGAGCAAAAAATTACGGAAAAAATCCTTCCGCTAAATCGCCAGTTTGTTATATGAGATTCCGTTATATCAAGAGTATCTGTACCTCCAAAACACCCTTTTATGGCTATGGTTATGATGAGAAGGTATTTGAACAAATTATTCAAATTAATCTAGTCACCATTGATGTGGTGCCTGGTTTTTCAACCATTAGATTCTGGTTGGTTATACTGCACTGTACAGGAGTTGACAAAGTCAGACAAAGTTATGTATTATATTCTGACAGTGATTTATGTTACTGATAATAATTTTACAATGAAAACCAATACCCTTTTGTTGTTAAAGAATGCAGACTTGCAATCTCTATATAATGTAATTTTTTTAATTTATTGTTTTCACTTCTGAAATCACATAATTTTCTAATAGCTTTGTAAACCCCTGTACAAAACGATGGTACCAGCAATATTGTACAGAAATAACTAAGTGCAACACTTCAAGTCTACCAAAGAATGTAATATTTCTGTTAAATGTTACTAACTCACCTTTTCTCCTATTTGTCCATCGCTTCCAGTGTTGCCTTTCTCACCCTTGTTACCAGGATAACCTCTGGGTCCCCGGATGCCAGCAGCACCAGGCTCACCTTTCTCCCCTGGGGATCCCGGAGTTCCTGGCCGGGCTGGGGCCACTCCCATCCCACCATCAACCTAAGGACAAACATCCATATTATGTCCTGGATTTCCAATGAAAAGAGAGGAGCAATAAATGAATATAATCATAATGCAATATATATAAAATTAAACAGTAATTACTGTATACGGTATACCCTGTACAGTACTCTGTTACACTAAACATTACTGTGATCTATAATAACTAATTAAATTAATCAATAATGACAAAAATGTTTTTATAATTAATGCCAAGACTTATGGCCACCATGGTAGACCTAGAAGGAAAAATCCAAAATGTGACAATCAATCAAACTTCATGCAAACAATTAATATAACAGTGGGATAAGGAATACATACATTGAAACAAAACAAAAACAGGCAAGAGGGAATATTTTTACTGAGCTGAATTTTATCCCAAGATCATAAACCAGGTAATCAATAATTTCATCTTTTTTTATGATGCATATTGTTTGTATAACAATATTCTTGAATTAACATAATCAATGTAAGTAGTCATGATTTAACAGTTATAAAAAAACTTCATAATGGCAGTGATTTTTTTACCTTAAACATGGAACGAGGCTTCCACAGTGGCTGCACCAGGGAAGAAGGAATCATAGTATACATCAAATTTTGGGAAGTAATTGAAACAGTCATCACTATGGGGTAAGTAATGTTTGTGAGTTCCTCCAAGAAACAACAGAGTAAAAAAAGTGAATATATACATCATAGACATGTTCATCTTCTGATTAGTCTTCTCATCAGAATGAAACACTTGTGTGAGGGTTTTGCATGCACACAAATATACGTACCCATGACAAAGATTTGGACCCACATCTTGGGGGTTTGTGATAAGTGTACAGTGTTTCAATCTAAACTCTAATTATGCCTGAGTCTGGTGCATCAGTGGAAGGAGGGTTATAGCACTGCATGCATGAATTCTAATATCCGGCACAGCACACGTATATTTGGTGATAGACATACGTATACAGTATTATATTTAAACTTCATGAGGAATTCAGCAGTTTGTTTTTTAGACATCTTGATTGTCATAAAGCACAACACACACTGGTGAAGGTCTTACGTCAAAGCCAGCGTTGCCCAAACCAGGTGTTCCTGGGGGTCCCTGTGGTCCTCTCTCTCCTTGTCTGCCTGGGTTGCCATCAATACCAGACTCTCCCTTGTCTCCTTGAATACCCTCAGGACCTGTATCACAAACAATACTTTTTAGTTGTAAACTTTCTTCCTGCGTCTTTGGGAATTTTCCTACTGCAATTATCAGAATCTCTTGCATGTGCTGAAGCAGTTGCAATTAAAATTAACCTTATCTATTAGAGTTTAAAGATATCATAATTTGTTGACCTTAAATGCAAAGTAACTTTTCAATACAAACGAAAATGCAAATAATATTCATGTAAAAGAACTTGAAAAATGTTTTTCATTTAATGTAGGTAGAGTACTATATCAATCATTGTACTGTACTGTGTCTGTAGCTAGTTAAAGTATTCTTAACATAAACTACAGCAGCAATACCCACCATGGCGACCTGGATATCCTCTGTCCCCTTTATCTCCTTTCACCCCGTGGGCTCCTCGCTCCCCTGGGGGTCCGGGCCGACCCGGTGTTCCTGGACTACCAGACATTCCATTCCGGCCGGGGACCCCTCCAGGACCAGGGGGTCCTCGTGGTATCTAGTACAGAAAAAGAAAAAAATCTCTCTCATGAGCGTAATGCATGAAAATTTCATGTTTAATTTTTAAAAGGAGGCTTATGCCACTCTAAGACTTTCCTTTTATTAAATATTTTAGTATGCTTTTCCACAAACACTATTTTATAGTTACACAACTTATTTGTGTGTATGCTGGGCAGTCTTAGTGGTCACGAACCTGTTTGAGGACAGCAGCCACCAGCATGGTTTCATTGCAAAGGCATTCACCACGTCCAACAGGAAGAATTCGACGACCACCACTAAAGTCAGACTCAGGCTGGTGCAGGGAGAGGAGGAGCTTCATTATAATTTTTCCCTCTGAGTGAATGATGTAGATAATTATAACAAAAGTTTTCTATCTACAGCTGTGAACAATACTTCTTGGGAGATAAAAATAGAATCCAATATTGTGTGAACCAAATAGAAAGCTTATGGTTTTTCAGTCACAGTGAATATTGAAGAGTATATTTTTATTGTATTTGTTTCTGTTTACACACCCACGGGTGTGAGGCATGGTCTTTAGGTGCAAGTGGAAGGAGCAAATTAGAAGTGGTACGAATAATGACTTGAGAACATGTGAGCTAAGTAAGATGCAGAGAACAAGGAATACTGTACAGTATGAAATAAGATGTAGGTATGATTAGGTTAGGTTAAGGTGTGAAAGAAGTGTAAGCCAAAAGATTATGTGATATAGATATATCATACTGTACTGTGACAATGTTGTGGTAAAGAATGTATTATTCAGAAGTTGATGGTAGGAGGAAAAGGGAAGACCAAGAAAATAAAGGGGTGGGGTGATGGATATACTGAAAGTAATGTGGATGGATAAGCTGTAGTGATTGATTATCCATTTTGCCGAGGTCAGGTAATTCAACAATACACCTCTGACCCACTAATTATACACCTCCTGTGTCTCTAAAGTACCATGGACTGCTAGAAACTTAAATTAAACAAATATTAAATATAAATTAAATGTGAAAATGCCATAATTTTGAGCAACATTACTGTACACACTTTGTACTCAATTGTACTACACTAGACTAAAATATCTCTTGCGCAAACAATATAATGTTTATACCCAAATTAATCACTATCTTATATATATATATATATATATATATATATATATATATATATATATATATATATATATATATATATATATATATATATATATATATATATATATATATATATATATATATGCAAGTAAATCACTGTAGGTGCGCGTGATCTATGTATATGGTCAGATTAGTAGGGTCATTACCTAATACCTGACCATTGTGGACCTGGACTCACCCTCCTCTGTATATATACACCTTGGTTTGTGTTTCTCTTTAGTCTGTACTCACCCCTGAAGATGTGAATTACACGAAAGCGCTTGGGAACTTCGTGTTTTCTTCTTTCCTTGTGGTTATCAGCATATATTTATATATATATATATATATATATATATATATATATATATATATATATATATATATATATATATATATATATATATATATATATATATATATATATAAAGCACATAGACTTCTACATATAATCAACACCTCATTCTGCCCAAGTTCGAACCCATATATATATGTGCAAATAAATCATAGGTGCGTGGAATCTGGTATATACTGATAACCTGAGAAAAAGCACAGAAGTTCCCAAGCGCGTTCGTGTAATCTACACATATATACCTATATATATATATATATATATATATATATATATATATATATATATATATATATATATATATATACACATACACATATACCATGTAGATCCACAATGAAAACGTGGATAAGATAAATCTTGATAAAATCACACGGGAAAAGGGAAACAACGGAGCACCTTAGCTTTCGTCATTATTCAAGACATCTTCAGAGGCAACTGGATTACATGGACAGAGAGAGGCTTAAATATACAGGGAAAGAAGCTTAGAAGTATTTAAATCATCTTGTGTCACAGAAAGACTTCTGGTTGAAGCTAGTTTGATTAAAGAATTAAAATCAATAAACCTTAGTGATGGTCAGTTCACTTTTACTTTTACTTTTATCCTCTTCGCCACTGATCGGCTTGTTAGCCCCTTGGGCGATCGGTCACGTCTCTTTTCCTTTATATTCTTCACCAAAAGGTCGGCTCGCTAGCCGCCCGGGCGATCGGTCACGTCTCTGTCACGCACTGTTGGCAAATACTGGGCATGCACCGGCTCCTGAATGTACCTGAACCCGCTCCAGTGTTGGTCAAGTCTTCTCTTGAAAGAGCTCACACTCGGTGCCGTCACAACACTCTCTGGTAGATTGTTACATAAATTTATTTGTCAGTGGCCTAAGGGTAAAAATGCTTTGAAAACCTTTGATCTAGATGTATGAAAGTTATTTAGTGGGTCCCTTATTTTTGACCTGACCTGACTAGTCACGTCATCCCCTTCTCTTAAGCTCCTCTATGTGTGTGTTGGTGTGGGGATTAGTGGATGACATCACTATGACCTGACCTCATGTTTATAAGGTCACCCTGTATATTTAAGCCTCTCTCTATCCACGTAATCCAGTTGCCTCTGAAGATGTCTTGAATATAGACGAAAGCTAAGGTGCTCCGTTGTTTCCCTTTTCCCGTGTGATTTTATCAAGATATATATATATATATATATATATATATATATATATATTAGGGGGCAGTGAAATTTTGCTCAAAGCTGCACTCTTCAGGCATTGTTCCTTATACATATCTAAGACTCCATGCCAAATTTGAAGCTGATATGTCGAGGTTTAGTCTGCCGCATTTTCTACTGAAATTTTTAAATTTACCTACAGTACTAGCCAAACAGCCGCTGTGGCGGTGCAATGTTCTGTTCAGTGTTTATCAACTTTTTTTTCATATCTCTTATTTCATTTAAGTTGTCTTGTTGCAGATGAGTATGGTGCTATGTCTATATTGATTATCAGCCTTTTCTCATTTCATTTCTCAATGTTAGCATTGGGGCACTGTAATGTAGGAGACCTAAAAGTTGCCGCCAGACCGATACTTGATTAATGATTATGTTGGAGCTGCTATTACATTGAAGCAATTAATTGACTATGGCATTATTTCACAAAGGATGACAAGACAGGTTATTGGACCACATAAGCTGCGGGATGCGAGACAAAAATACTGGGATTTAAGAGGCAAGAAATTGAGATGCATACGAGATAATTTGACGTCACTCTATTTTGATGGTAAGAAGACTGCCACTGTGGATGATAAAGAATGAGAAGACTGAGAAATGGAGTTCGAGGATGATGGTGAAAGATCATTATGTCATCATGGTTGAGCCTGGCAATGAATATCTCACATGTGACCTCAAGACTGACACGGAAAGCAGATTGCCAAAACTATTCACGAGTTTCTGGTGGAGAAAATCTAACCCAGCAGCCCATTGTGTGTAAGTATAGATGGAACCAATGTAAATGTAGGATCAGAAAATGGAGCTGGTCTATCATCTTGAAATGTTACTTGGTCACCCCGCTCCATTATTTCATATGTCAGCTTGATGGAAATGAGCCACCTTTCCGCGCAGCTTTTTATCAATTATGCGATGGTAAAACCAAGTGGTCCTGAGCATTGGCGTGGTCCCATTGGAAAGCAGATCAAGGAGTCTTTGTCTGAGCTTCCAGTTGTCGCCTTCCAGCCAGCCGTTTCCCCTGATTTCTGTAAGCTTAATGATGAAGTGGAGAAAGATCTGTCCTGGGACTGTAGCCTGTATAGATTTGTAAAGGAGCACACAGGTGTTGTTGAAGATGACTTGGCTGCTATTGAGCCAGGTCCTCCTGGTGTCACTGGCGTGGAACACCTTTATGGAGTAGAATCCTCAGGCTGTGGCGCGGAGCAAACATCAAGACCAGCCATGAGTTGAAAAGAATTGTCATTACAATAATAAAGTTCAGTGCTCCAATGTGGTTTTACATCAAGATATACCCTGACAGTAACACACGGCCAAGGAACGTATTCCAGTCCCTGCTATATATGAAACACCTGAATAGTGAGGAGGAGACGATAGTGAAGAAGGTTCAGAGAAATGCGCGCTGTCACACAGATCATCCTTCTGGTATGTGTGCAGATGAGACATGATCAGCAGAGAAAAAAGCCGCCCCAATGATAAGAAAAATTAGAGAGGAGAATGAGCAAAAGGAAGAATGCACTTGGCAGATCTGAAGAGAGGAGGAAGATTCTGATGCTGCTGTTGACGAGAATTTGTCAAATCCATACTGATGAGGAGGGAAGATGGAGATGGGAATGAGGATGACGTGCTCTGTAGCAAACATGAGAAAGGTGGTGACTCCTGAAAACCAAAGTGGCAAGCAAAAAACTATCATTCCATGATTATCTGAGTGAATGAACTCAAGACTGAGCCTCCTTGTTACTGCTTTCTCTGTCAAATCTACAGGTTAATGACATTCTGAGACACCATTAGTGGTGCCCAAGTGGGCCAAACAGCACTCAGGCGGTCGAGAGAGGCATAAAAGGGATGACTGAAGCTTGCACTGAAGTGACGGGATACGAACGAGAGATGGATATATAGGCAAAGATTATTGTCTAGAAAATGATGCCAAGGTTCCGCACAAAAAAGAATTTCAATATGAACTTGTAATGATTTTCTATACGGTGTACCTGTAAAATAACATGTGAATTAAATCGATGTCACCCATGTAAAATTTATCATTATCCTGAAAACATTAAATGACACCTAATTTTTGGTATACACTAAAAGTTGACAAAAGTAGTTCATGATGCGGCAGGGTAAATATTGAAATTTTGCACAGGTGTTTGTTACAGCCATACAAACGATGCCTGAAAAGTGCAGCCTGCAACTCAAATAAAAGTGTTTTTCCCTGTAATAATATATATATATATATATATATATATATATATATATATATATATATATATATATATATATATATATATATATATATATATATATATATAAGAAGATGAGGGGGAATACTATGGAGATTACCAGCTCATGAGAGACAAATTACATAGAACCCACGGCCCACTAGCCCATGACTGTGACTGGAACGCTAACCGCTGGACCACCAGGATGCTAAAAGCAGTCCTAGACTTTGTTATATATGGATCCTCGTGTTTCGAAGCCGGATTTGGTAAAACGTTACTCTGACCACCTACGTGATACGTGTAGTCCCCAATAGAGGTTCACGGCGCCATAAGCTCGTTGAACAGGCTTTGTGTGAAATATAACAAAGTCTAGGACCGTTTATCCTGGTGGTCCCGCGGTTAGCGTTCCCCGGTCACAGTCAGGCCGTGGGTTCGAATTCTGGCGGGTTGAGGTGTTGATTGGTAGAAGTCTGTGTGCTAGCTAATGAAATATATATATATATATATATATATATATATATATATATATATATATATATATATATATATATATATATATATATTGAAACATGCAAACATTTCTATAAATTTGGGGGACCACTGATGAGTTTGGCCTGGGGCCCACAAGTAGGTAAATCCGGCCCTGGTTGTAATCATGGTCGTGGTTATTATAATCATGGTCGTGGTTGTTATAATCATGGTCGTGGTTGTTATAATCATGGCTGTGGTTATTATAATCATGGTCGTGGTTGTTATAATCATGATCGTGGTTGTTATAATCATGGTCGTGGTTGTCATAATCATGGTCGTGGTTATGATCATAGTCGTGGTTGTTATAATCATGGTCGTGGTTGTTATAATTGGCGGTCGGTTGTTATAATCATGGTCGTGGTTGTCATAATCATGGTCGTGGTTATGATCATAGTCGTGGTTGTTATAATCTTGGCTGTGGTTATTATAATCATGGTCGCGGTTGTTATAATCATGATCGTGGTTGTTATAATCATAGTCGTGGTTGTCATAATCATGGGTCGGTTAGATCATAGTCGTGGTTGTTATAATCATGGTCGTGGTTGTTATAATCATGGTCGGTTATGATCATAGTCGTGGTTGTTATAGCATTGTCGTGGTTGTTATAATCATGGTCGTGGTTATGTCAGTCGTGGTTGTTATAATCATGGGTCGGTTGTATAATCATGGTTGTGGTTGTTATAATCATGGTCGTGTTATTATAATCATAGTCGTGGTTGTTATAATCATGGTCGCTAGTTATAATCGTGGTCGTGGTTGTTATAATCATGGTCGTGGTTGTCATAATCATGGTCGTGGTTATGATCATAGTCGGTTGTTATAAGCATTGTCGTGGTTGTTATAATCATGGTCGTGGTTGTTATAATCACTGATGTGGTTGTTATAATCATTGTCGGTTGTTATAATCATGGTCGTTGTTATAATCATGGTCGTGGTTGCTATAATCATGGTCGTGGTTGTTATAATCATGGTCGGGTTGTTAAAATCATGGTCGTGGTTGTTATAATCATGGTCGTGGTTGTTATAATCATGGTCGTGGTTATTATAATCATAGTCGTGGTTGTTAATCATGGTCGCTAGTTATAATCATGGTCGTGGTTGTTATAATCATGGTCGTGGTTGTTATGTCATTGTCGTGGTTGTATAATCATGGTCGGTTTTATAATCATGCGTCGGTTGTTATAATCATGTCGTGGTTGTTATAATCATGGTCGTGGTTGTTATAAATGGTCGTGGTAATCATGGTCGGTTATAATCATGGTCCTGGTTATAATCATGGTCGTGGTTGTTATAATCATGTCCGCGTTGGTTATAATCATGGTCGTGGTTATTATAATCATAGTCGTGGGTTATAACACGGTCGTGGTTAAGCATAACTGCATCGTGGTTGTTATAATCGCGTCGTGCTGGTAATAACCGTGGTCGGGTTGTTATAATCATGGTCGGTTGTTAACTCGCGGTCGGTTATATAATCATGGTCGGTTGTTATAACTGGTGGTCGGTTGTTATAATCATGGTCCTGGTTGTTATAATCATGGTCCTGGTTGTTATAATCATGTCCTGGTTGTTATAATCATGGTCCTGGTTGTTATAATCATGGTCGTGATTGTTACTAATGGGTCGTACCTGAGACTAACACAGGTAGAATAAACCCACACCTTACTTTAATCCCAATAAACCCAGATTAACCTCACCTAATCAACAGGATTAGTGACCATTAGAGTACCACCAATAACGATATATTTCATATTAATAACATTTAATCACATTTCCAATAGCTAATGTTTACGGATATTTTGTATCAAGTCTGTCTATATAATTATGTTTTATTACGAATATTTATAGTTCGTTGTGTATTGTATATGGTATGGTATTGTACTGTATTGTATGGTATTGTACTGTATTGTATCCGGCTGACAGCATACAGCGAATGAGGGTACGGCAAGTCCGTAGACTTGCATGGTTAATTAGGGTGCGTTTTCCATCGAAAATAAAATGGTTTATTAATGGTTTCCTAAAGAAACCATCGACATGGGACCAGGTTTGTTCCACTCTACGAATTTTTTGCGATTTTTCCACCAAGTTTGATGAAAAGCGATTGTGCCATTTCGGCTGCACAGACAGACATACATTCGGATAGCGCTATAGTATATTAGATACCATTCATTGTGGAAACTGGCGGCCGGAGTACGCTGAAGCTGCTTTATTGAGTCAGTCTGGTCGATCTGTGGCTTTCTTCTCAAGGACACTCATTGCTTCGGAGCAGAAGCTCTCTTCTGTCAAAAAGGAGGCCTACGCCATAGTGGAGGCATTGAGAAAATGGAGACACTACTTAATTGGGCACCGTTTGGTCACGGATCAGAGGTCAGTCGCCTTCATGTTCAACTCCAAAAGTTCGAGCAAAGTCAAGAATGAGAAGATCACAAGATGGCGAATTGACCTATCATGCTTCAGTTACGACATTGTCTATCATTCTGGCAAAGAAAATGGCACTGTGGATATGTTCTCATGTGTATGCAGTTCGATCTCTGCTACAGATGATCTGCAGACTCTTCACAATAATTTATGTCATCTGGGCGTTACAAGGATGATGCAGCTTTGTACGGAGCAGAAATCTACCATTCTCTATCAGTGATAAGGGCGATGACTGACACTTGCCATACATGTCTGGAACTTAAATCGTGATTCTTCAGATCAAACTCAGGCTGAATGTGAATTTCAAGGTACCTCTTCCTTCTAAGACAAGAAATCTATATTTACTTACTATAATTGGTGAATATTCAAGGTTCCCATTCACCTTCCCATGCTCTGATCTGTCGACAAACACTGTGATAAAATGTCTCTGCTCATTATTCTCGATTTTTGGTTTGCCAACCTATATTCATTCCGATCGTGGAGCGTTGTTCATGTCGTGCTCGAAGCTTTTGCAACAGCACTAGTGGACCAACCCCTACAACCCCTACAGGTATTGGTCAAGGATACATAATGGCATCATCTGGGGAACGGACACTTGCGCTGAAATCCAGAAATCTACCTCCTACTCATTGGGAAGATGTCTTCATGGATGCCAACTGCATTCGATAACTGCTGTCAACTACCACAAATACCACTCCGCACGAACGGATGTTTGGCTACCAAGGGAGATCGGCCAGTGGGAGGGCAATACCTAGCTGGTTAACGACTGAAAAGACTGTATCTCAAGTGCCAAGTACGTTACAGTAAATATGATCTGTTGGTGGACGAGGTGAATTACTTGATGTTAATCCACAATATGCGAGCGTCTGATTTCCAGGTGGAGGGGAAACCACAGTGTCTCTGCGCCATCTCGCGCCCAAAGGTGTTGAATCAGATGCAGAGCAACATTAAGACGAGGCCAGCAATGAATGTGTTCCTATACAAAGTTTAGATGAATATCTCAATGAACACCTGGTAGCTGAGAGGGACGAGCAGCTGTAAATGACGGACCACTAGGGAAATCGACGCCCAGAAGGCTTATTGTGTTCCAGACATATGCCGTCCTATCTGGGCGATTATGCACTGTAATTGTATGTTGATGGGTTGTTTTAAAGGCAGGGGTGAATGATGTGTTATGCTTAGTTGGTTAAGTGCTCTAGATTACATCGTTTGAAGTTCTCTTATATTTCTTATGTTATATTATGTTATGTTTATATGTGTTAAGCCAATTTTGTTACTTGAAGCTTAGTTATTCTTAATTTGTAACTCCTGTTTATTCTGTTAATGCCAGAGCTATGGATACTGATGTTGCATTAAGTTGACTAAAGCCTCCCAGTGCTTATTGCTAACACGGTACAGGTGTGTTTATGAGACTCGGTATCTATAACATACAATACTATGGTTGCTAATACTATTTACGGATTACAGATTTTGACATGTTGCGGAGTAAATGGAACCTAAACCCCTCGAATAGCAAGGGTCAAATGTGGATACAGTAAAAAAAAAAAAATAATAATAAATAAATAAACTGGTACTTACGATGAAGTCTTCGCCGGCACCAGAGCCAAAATCAAGCAAGTTGAGGGCAGATCCAGTTGCTCCAGGGGGCCCTGGAGGACCTTGGGGCCTGTCGACTCTCCAGGGGGGCCCTGACACAGATACATAACTTAGTTTTTACATGCTCATCAGAGTTCAATATTTATTACTTAAGAATTTATGTAGATACTACTTCTGGAAAAGCTAAAGGATAAACTGGTTTATCCAATTATTTAAGAAGGAACAGTGTGTGTGTGTGTGTACTAGATGGTAAATACATGGGGGCCCTACACCAATGGATATTATATTCATATTTCTACTTGTATAATAAATTTTACTTGCTGATATATTGAGTTATTTTAACTTATTCATGGGTGCCAGTGGTGCAGGAATGTATCTTTTACCATTGCAGCTTCGGGTCAATACAGTATACTCTCGATTTAACGAAATCCGATATAATGAACTCTTGATTTAGTGGAAGGCATTTTTTCCGTTATTTTTCGTTTGATTTAGTGAACTAGTTCAAGTGGTAAGGTGACGAGTCAGGTGGTGAGGTGACATGCCAAGACACACAACACACATATTAACAGCACTACTAAACCATTATCTTAAAACATTTTACTTCATAATTTCTATTTTAAAATTAGTTGATATATGAAGGCTTAATTTGGTTACTTTTACACTTAGACAATTGATCAATTAATAAACCAGGGCATGTGGGAGACATTACACACCAGTGATAAAGCTTCGCAACTGCAACCACAACTGCTGAACAACCATATAAATTATCACAACCTGTACATATAAGACTGTTAATTTCAAATTTTATGTCTAATGGAAACTATGGGATGTTTATATTAAAATTAATCATCATCTTGCAATTCCAGCAATGCAAATTATTCACAAGTCAAGTCAGTGCCATTTTATGAGTGAAAAACAAATTCCTGTCTTTATAATCATGAGTCCCTGACCCCCCCCCTCCACTGACAACTACTGTAATCTCCCTCCTGACTGTCAACACTCTACCTCCGCCTCCCCCCTCCTCCCAGCCAGCAGGAGATAAGGATTTTATAGAATGAAGGTGGTTTCAGGTTTAAAGTTTTTCTATTAAAAATTGTCACAGACTTGACTTAGCACAATATAACTTGCATTGCAAACTTGCAAGATAATGATTAATTTATTTATAAACATCTCATAGTTTGCACAAGAGATAAAAATTGTAGTCCTTTAGCTTAGTACATCTGAGTATAAAGTGAATACAGTAATATGTTGCTCAAAATTATGGTTTATTCACAGGAAAGTCTGTAAAACTAACCCCCCAGTGGTCAGGATTTCAAATAAATTTCTTTTGTTTTGTTCTGTACATAGAGAGACTGGTGGTGGAGGAGGGATGGAGACCCGAGAGGAGAAACTGACTGCTCATCCTCCATAGGTTTGTCCCCACCCGACCCTGCCTCTGTCATTCTTACTGTAACTTGACAAAATATTGTTTATTTGTTGTCTTTTAATTAGTAAAGATATGTTACTGTAATAATTTGAGCTTATTAATTACCAGTACCCTTCATATACAGTAAAATATTTATTTTTACCTTATTATTCGACTTATCAAATTATTGATTATATATTGTATTTTTTTTCTGTAGTAGTATTTAATATTTTATATGATCAATGATAAAACATACACCATAAGATGTTGGTCATTCGAGAATATATAATAATAAATGTTGGAGGGTGTGTGTTGTGTTGGAGGGTGTGTGTTGGTGGTGTTGGAGGGTGTGTTGGTGTTGGAGGGGTGTTGGTGGTGTTGGAGGGTGTGTTGGTGGTGTTGGAGGGTGTGTTGGCGGTGTTGGGTGGTTGCTGGAGAAGGTGTGTGTTGGTGGTGTTGGAGGGTGTGTGTTGGTGGTGTTGGAGGGTGTGTTGGTGTTGGAAGGTGTGCTGGCGGTGTTGGAAGGTGTGTGTTGGTGGTGTTGAGGTGTTTGGTGGCGAAGGTGTGTGTTGGTGGTGTTGAGGTGTGTTGTGTTGAGGTGTGTGTTGGTAGTGTAGGTTGAGGTGTGTTGGTAGGGAGGGTGTGTTGGTGGTGTTGGAGGTGTTGGCGGTGTTGGAAAGGTGTGTTGGTGGTGTTGGAAGGTGTGTGTTGGGGTGTTGAGGGTGTGTTGGTGTGAAGGTGTGTTGGTGGTGTTGGGGTGTTATGGTGTTGGGGTTGCAATGGCGGTGTTGGGGAAGGTTGGTGGTGTTGAGGGTGTTGGTGTTGGGAAGTTGGCGGAGGGTGTGTTGGTGGTGTTGAGGTGTGAAGGGTGTTGGGGGTGTTGGAAGGTGTGTTGGCGATGGAAGGTGTGTGTTGGTGGTGTTGAAGGTGTGTGTTGGTGTGGGTAGTTGGAAGGTGTGTGTTGGTGGTGTTGGAAGGGAGTGTGTGTTGGTGTTGGGAGGTGGTAGATGGTGGTGTTGGAGGTGGTGTGTGTTGGGAGTGGTTGGTGTTGAGGGGGCTGGTGTTGAAGGTGTGTTGGTGGTGTTGAGGTGTGTGTTGGGGTGTTGAAGGTGTGTGTTGGTGGTGTCAGAAGGTGTGTGTTGGTGGTGTTGGGGTGAAGGTTTGTGTTGGTGGTGTTGAAAGGTGTGTGTTGGTGGTGTTGGAGGTGTGTGTGTTGGTGTTGTGTGTTATGGTGTGGGAGTGTGTGTGTTGTTGGAAGTAGTTGTGTGTTGGTGGGAGGTGTGTGTTGGTGGTGTTGAGGGTGTTGTGGTGCTGAGGGTGTGTGTTGGTGGTGTTGGAAGTTGGTTGTGTTGTTGGATGTGTAAGGTGGTGTTGGTGTGGAGGGAGGGTGGTGGTTGTGTGGCTGGTGTTGGGGTGTGTGTTGTGTTGAGGGTGTTGCAGTTGGAAGGTGTGTTGGTGGTGTTGGCTGTGTGTTGGTGGTGTTGCGGAAAGGGTGTGTGTTGGGTGCTGCTGGTGTGTGTTGGTGGTGTTGAGGTGTTGAGGTGTGTGTTGGCGGTGTTGGAAGGTGGTTGGTGGTGTTGGAGGGTGTGTGTTGGTGGTGTTGGAAGGTGTGTTGGGTTGCAAGGTGTTTGCGAAGTGGCTGTGTGGTTGGATGAGGTGTGTTTGGATGGTGTTGATGGTGTTGGGGTGTGTGTTGTGGTGTGTTGGTGTTGCAAGAAGGGTGTGTGTGTTGGTGGTGTTGGAGGGTGTGTGTTGGTGGTGTTGAGGTGTTGTGGTGTTGGAGGGGTGTGGTGTTGGAAGGTGTTGGGAAGGTGTGTTGGAGGTGTTGTGGTGTTGGTGCTGGTGGTTGAGGGGTTGGTGGTGTTGGAAGGTGCTGGTGGTGTTGATGTGTGTTGCAGAAGTTGATGGGTGTGTTGGTGGTTGCTGGGTGTGTTGAGTTGGAGGGTGTTGGTGTTGGGCTGTCGGTGTTGGAAGGTGGGTGTTGGGTGCAGGTTGTGTTGGAAGGTGGTGTGGCAGGTGTTGGGGTGTGTTGATGGTGTTGGGTGTGTTGGTGTTGAGGGTGTGTGTTGGTGGTGTTGAGGGTGTGTGCAGGTGTTGGGAAGGTGTGTGGGCTGCTGAGTTGGTGTTGGAAGGTGGTGTTGGTGGTGTTGGAGGTGTGTTGTTGGTTGGGAAGGTGTGTTGGTGGTGGTTGAGTGTGTGGGTGTAGCTGGTGTGTTGGTGGTGTTGGAAATATGGGTTGGTGTGGTGTTGGAAGGTGTGTTGGTGGTGTTGGAGGTGTGTTGTTGGTGGTGTTGGAGTGGGCGTGTTGGTGGTGTTGAGGTGTGTGTGCTGGTGGTGGGAAGGTGTGTGTTGGTGGTGCTGGAGGTGGCTGGTGGTGCTGGGTGTTGGTGGTGCTGGAGGTGTGGTGCTGGGTGGGTGTTGGAGGTGTTGGTGCTGAAGCGTGTTGTTGGTAGGTTGAGGGTGTATTGGTGGTGTTGGAAGGTGTGTGTTGTAAGGGTGGGTGTTGGGTGGTGTGAGGGTGTGTCAGAAGAGGCGTGTTGGTGGTGTTGGAGGGTGTTGTAATGGAGGTGTGTGTGTTGGTGGTGTTGGAATGTGTTTGGTGTTGAGGTGGTGTTGGAGGTGTTGGTGGTGTTGAGGGTGTGTTGGTGGTGTTGAGGGTGTGTTTGGTGTCGGAGGTGTGTGTTGGTGGTGCTGGATGGGAGGTGTGCTGAATGTGTTGGTGTTGGAGGGTGTGGGTGGTGTTGAAGGTGGTGTTGGTGTGGGTGTGTGGGTGTGTGGTGTGTCGAGGTTGGTGGTGTTGAAGGTGTGGTGGTGTTTCGTGAGGGTGTGTGTTGGTGGTGTTGAGGAGGTGCTGGGAAGGTGTGGTGTGTTGGAGGGTGTGTGTTGGTGGTGTTGGGAGGTCTGGTTGAGGTGTTGGAGGGTGGTGTTGGTGGTGCTGGAGGGTGTTGGTGGTGTTGGAGGGTGTGTGTTGGTGGTGCTGTGTGTTTGTTGGTGGTGTTGGTGGGCTGTTGAGGGCTCAGGTTGGTGTTGGAGGTGTGTGTTGGTGGTGCTGGAGGGTGTGCTGGTGGTGTTGGAGGTGTGTGCGTGGGATGTGTTTGTTGCAGAAGGTGTGTTGGTGGTGCTGGAGGTTGGTGTTGGAGGGTGTAGGTGCTGCGGGTGTGGGAGGTGTGGTTTGTAGAGGGTGTGTTGGTAGGGGAGGGTGTTGGTGGTGTTGGAGGTGTTGTGTTGGTGTGTTTGTTGGAGAAGGAGTGTGTTGATGGTGTTGGAAATGTGTTTTGGTGGTGTTGGAGGGTGTGTTGGTGTTGGAGGTGTGTGTTGGTGGTGTTGGAGGTGTGTGTTGGTGGTGTTGGAGGGTGCTGGGTGTTGGAGGGTGTGTGTTGGTGGTGTTGGAGGGTATTGGTGGTGTTGGAGGGTGGGGTGGTGTTGAGGGTGTGTTGGTGTTGGAGGTGTTTGTTGGTGGGTTGGAGGGTGTGTTGTGTGTGTGGAGGGTGTGTGTTGGTGGTGTTGGAGGGTGTGTGTTGGTGGTGTTGGAGGTGGTTGGTGTTGGAGGGTGGTTGGTGGTGTTGAGGGTGTGGTAGTGTAGGGCGGTGGTGTTGAGGGTGTTGGTGGTGTTAGGTGTGTGGTGGTGTTGGAGGGTGTGTGGGTTGGGAAGGTGTTGGAGGCTGTGTGTTGGTGGTGTTGGAAGGT